ATCTATATTAAAAATTACGAAGTAAGTCCTTAACACATATTTCCTTAAATAAATTCCGGAAGGGTTTAAGTACGGCTTAATTCGCATTAATAAAAGAAGCCGTTACCTTTGTTATTACGGAGTTTAGGTTCTCTAAATTGGCTACAAATCCACTATTCTGCTAAGTTTCAAATGTAAACAAATATGGCTGCTATGTAAAAATAATTAGGCTTAGCCTCACTTAAACAACTTTTAAATTGTTGATAATTTCACAAATATTGCATACAGATTTACTAAAGGCATAAAAACCTTAACCGGAAGATAAGAACAACATAATTCAATCGTTTTTAAAGCAAAAAATGCGCAATTTACCAACATATAAAAATAAAAAAATCTGAGCTCACTAAGCAGAGTAACAGACTGGGTATACATATACATATTTTTATATATTTTTGGTGCGGCCGATTGCAACCAAAAAGGGAGGTGCACATCTACATGTTATAGTAGTCCTATATACAAAATTTCAACTTTCTGATGCTACTCGTTTTTGAGTTATGCGAGATACATATGTATGTACAGACACTGCGAAAAAAATCTCGAATCCATTTTAAATCAGTTTTATAATTCGTTTGGTGAACGAGTCCTTTATTCTGTCCTTATGTACAGATGTCACGCAAGAAACATCGTTAAATTGCATTCGATAGAGGTCAAAATTGATATTTTCGTTGAAATATAGTACCCGGAATTTTTCTTAATTACGATACTTCGTACAAGGAAGTAAAAAGGGTATATCCAAAATATTAAAGCTGCAGAAAAAAGGGAAGGAGGAAGAAAAAATGGAGAAGACAGAGAATTAGAAAAGTTTGGTCTGGTCTTCCTCCTCTCTCATTAGAATCTTTTCTAAAAATGGGCCGATTTGATTCATTTATCGATAAAATTGATGAAATTGGGGAAGCTATCCTGGAAATGAACAATTATTTGTGTGACTCTGAAAAAAAGGAAAAAGGCACGCGCAAAAATATAGTGTAGGATTCAAAAAATAAAAACACTATAATAGACTGCATATATAATGGTGTTTTTCACATAATTGTTTCAGAACCCGTTGCAATGATATCACGATTCGGAATAAAAGATCAGCAACTAATATACAAGTTTTTCAAAAAATTAACAAGAAAACTAGTCATAAAGTAAGACTACAAATGACTCATTTTTAATACAATGTTCTCTGTGTACTCAGTTGAGCATTTCATTGTTTTGCGAACTTTCCAACAATTATATTAATGATCACACATATGACAAAATGCAACTTTTACCATTCCAAATCTTATACATGAGTGGCCCACATCAGGTACACCACAAATTTAGTATTCACACATTGAATTGCAACATATGGATGGAGAATTTTTTTAATTTTTTTATATATTTAAGTATTTCATTTACGATTTTATGCAATAACTATAAAGTAAGGGTTAAGACAATAAATGAAACGAATGTGTTATGCTATGCTCAGTATTCGACGGGATTTTTTGATATCAAAATAGTAACAGGAACTCAATAGAAACCCACAGAAGAAGTAAAGATGGAACTGAAATAAAGAACTAACAATAATGACCGTAGCTAAGCACTGCAATTTGTTTATGAGTTCTTAGACTTCACGGATGAATAAACGGAGCTTGAGTTTAATGCCAACATAGCTTTGCACAGAGCTGTTTGATAAATTAAACAACACGATTCTAAAGAAAGTCATATAATAGACGTTCTTAAAGAAATGTTGAAAATAGACATAGGCCAGGCGCGACACTGTTCAAGGCTTATACATCGTTCTTGCCTTTGCCGCCCGGAGCAGTCGCAAGGGCTCTGGTGCCTGGACTAGATATATGTACATTTTATTACTTAATTTCATTCTATTTCACTTATATATTTGTATTATGCGTAACTTCTATCATTATATACTTTTTTATTTTGATTCTTTTTCGAATATTTGATTGTAAATGCGTAATTATTAATAAAAATTCATGTGGTTGACTAAAATCAGAGAAACGTGTAGTGGCGCCTCTTTTTGGATGTCGCAAGGCTAGCTTCTGCTTGCTTGCGGTTGAAGTAGAATGGTTTCCAATATACCTTTTCAAGTCATCAGTTTATCTTTTCAATATATCGGTTTCAAATTATCTTGTAACTGTCAGACGAATCGTCATCTCATATAAATGAAACAGCCGAAAGATAGGAAAGGAATTTTTCATCAACGATAGAGCACCAAACTTACGCCTTATTTTGTGAATTTTACAGTAAGTAAAGATTTATATTACCGGAATAATGTGATATTTGAAATTTATTAAAAATATAAAACTTTTAAGTCCGATGGAAAAAGTACTGCATGACCAAACACCACTGAATCCGAAGAGCCTGTTCGCTTATCAGGATTTCTATTCCTTCTAATCCTTTGGAAAACATCTGCAAATCCCGAATGGGAGGAGGGAACTTACTGAAACTATGCTCATGCGTGTAGATGATACGACAAGGATGAGAAGGGCTAAATTACCCTTTATTTCTCACAGTTTACAGCAGTTACCGCACTTCGGGATACAAAGACCAGAACTTATAGTCTAAAATGTAGACAATAAGAAGTAAAACTAAACTCAATAAGAAGTAAAACTAACTTAACTAAATAAGAAGTAAAACTAAACTTAACTAAACTTAGATACTTTACAAAGACTAGTAACGTGAAGGTTGCCCTTTTAACCTGTGTAGTGAACAGAATGCAGGAAACTACAGTACGTCTTTTACGTATCAGCGTACGTTACGTATTAGCAAAAATTAAGTTCTGGCCTTAAAGGCAGACAGAAATTGACTGAAAACACGCGTGTGGTAAGGCAGCGAGAAGTCTTCCTCTAACCCTTCCTTTTGGCTAAAAGCCATATCTTAAATACTTAACAGTTTGAAAACTCATTTGCATAAACAAAACTAATCGCGCTTATTCTGACCGGAAATTGAAAATAAGAGAGGATAGCAAAGTTTTAAAATAAAATAAACGTTAGTAAAACTTATCCTTACAAGCTATTCTTAAACAACAGTCTATTGTTATTTATTGTTAAACAACAAAAGGTGCAGGTAAAATATCTTGAAAAATATTTCGCAGATATTTTCTTTTTGAAATTAATTTTTACAGAAATTAATTTTAAAAATTTTTTATAGAAAGTCTAATGATCAGTACAAATACGTCAAATTTCTGAAGGAAAACCCGGGCACATTTGAGCAAAAACTTGAAATGCAAATAACATTTAAATTACAGCAGGATATTCATCTTAACACATACAACTCTAAATGTTTAGTTAAGGTATTGTGAAAATTTCAAAATTGCCCTTTGTTCTTCTGAATTACACCCCACTGAATATGTGTAGAGCAGGGATTTTCAACCCTATGCTTTCAAGCACCATATCGCCCGCCGATCGTTTAACGTGTGCCAATAAAAATGTTTTAGTTTTCAATAAAATTCTATGTGAAAGTGTTCTCATGTTAATGAAATACAAAATTGAGTCCAACATAGATACCAGCACAGAACGAAATACGACCGATCACTTTTTTTTATGTGCATGTGTTATTAACTCTATCTAACTATAAATTGACTTTGAAAAAGTAAATAGTGCCCGCCGTCCAACAGATATTCTAGAATGGGCTCTTGAGGACGAAAAGGTTGGGAACCCTGATGTAGAGCGTGAACTGGAGAAGAGAATAAGGAAGTGAAATATTTCTTCAAAAATTCACTTAAAAGTAAATTTGACTGAGAAGTGAGGGGGAAAATAAAAATTAATTTAATCTAATCAAAACACACAAAAATTTCGTTTTTAGCTAAAGAACCCAGCCAGATATCAAGTGTCCTGTTATCTGTTAAATATGTATCTTAAGTGTTCGAATAACTATGTGGATTCGTTCTAGATATTTTAAAATAACTGATTTAATTTTAAGAAACATTCTCAACGTTTTTGTTTACGAAAAAACACTTGTTAAAGCAGCTAAGCGAGAATTAATGTAAAAGAAAAAATCAAAGTCATTTGTTTACTATAAATTATATGATTTTTGCAAATAAACTTCAGAAACACAAGTGTCCGAAAACAAATGTGAACCATTGTATAACATTCGCATATGTACTATTTTAACAGTTCATCAACGTCTATGCATTTTTTAATAATGACAACAAATGCCGCACATTCCACACATTAAGTGTGGATCAAGCCAACATAAACAAACAACCGAAATAGCATTTAAGTAATACCATCATTTGCACATCAAATTATGAAATATGCATTTTAAATTACTCTGTGATTTCATTCTTAGAAGCGTTGAAAGTAAATCTGGAACTGTCAAAATAAAGAAGGAATATGTAAGAAATTGTTCAGATTTACGTAATTGATGAAATGGCAGTTGCAAGAATTACAAAGAATATTAAGTATATTTTTATTTCTATATTGTAATTTCGCTTCCGCTGGTGCTACCCGGGTACACCTCTAATAATTAAGAAATATAATAAAGTAATTCTAAATATTATTTGCAATAATAATATAATACACTCAATTAATAACTTTTGTAAATATTTATACCACTATTGTCATTAATAAAGCACATTATCTAACGCCTTTACTAATGCACCACGGCTACAAAATAATCATTTACAATGCATGTAATTCTTTTTATAGGTATATTTACTTTTACCTCACAATTATCTTGAATGCAGTAACATATTTTGCACTTATCATGAGATCTTTCTCTTCAAATTAATTCATACCAAGATACTTTGTTAAGAATATTCAAATGGTAACCATCACATTCCCCTTTATAGGTCTAACCAAGACTCATTTGGAACGTTCCACAAACTATTGCGTCTCTCTCGCAGAGCATTTGCTATCGTTCCTTTTCAAAAACAAACCCCTCAAAAACAATTATTGACAAAAATAAGCAAAGAAAAGGGAGATGTTGTCTGCACCAATCATTTGCGCACACACTTTCATCATCCCCATGGCACTTACTTCCTTCATCTTGCTGGTCTGCACTCTAGTTCGATAATCTTCTCTTATCTCTGCTCTCATCAATGTCCATCAGCGGTGAGCGGATCGGTCGACCATTCTTCCTTTTCTCTCGAGCATCTTCTTCGGAGGATGCGGGATGACAACTACAGCGTCCCCTGTCGGATGATATTGGCATAACACCGCTGTGGGTTTAGTGGCAGAGATAAACCAATGACCGGACCATATTTAAATATATTTAACGTAACTTTTTCTAGCTTTTGTGTTCTTTTAGTCCAAAAGGGCAATTTGCCCAGAAGGACTATTAATTTCGTTTTGGCATTTTGCTTCGATTCACGATAAGCGTTGTTTCACTATTCAAATTGTTGCCACCAAATGTTAGAGCCCTGTGTTATATTTAAAGAAATTAAATAGTAAAGAATCCGCATGAATGTTTCTCGCATTGTCATAAAAACAATTGTACCTAGAACCATCAAAATTTGTATAACGTAATCTTCCATAGAATATGGGCATGTGGAAGCCCTAATTTGAATTTAAAAATTTGTTTTATTATCGATTTCATATTTTGTAACACTTCAGAGAATTTTTAATTAACAAACTAAGCAATTTCAAAGCGAGCAATGACAACACAGTACGGGGGGAAAATGTGTATCTCCAGACCCCGAGACTCTGCATTGGAAACTCTTAAGATATGCTCATTTTAAAATTATTTTGCGATATTGCTGTTGAATTGAATTTTATGGTTTAAGTGCGAAGAACATGATACTTAATAAATAAAGGTAAAACACAAAATGTAAAAAAAACGACCCTTTGGGCGTAATTTAAAATTTGAAACCTTTCAGTTCATTTTTTTTAATTAGCCCAAAGGAGCAATTTGCCTAGAAGGGCTATTAATTTCGTTTTGGCATTTTGCGTTGATTCACTATAAATGTCGATTCACTTTTCAGATTGTTGCCACCCAATATTAGAGCCCTGCGTTATACATAAATGAGTTAATAATGAAGTTAAATAATGAAGAATCTGCATGAATGTATGTATGTTTCTCGCATTGTGATATAAAACAACGGTATCTAGAGACATCAAATTTTGAATAACGTAGTCTTCCATTCGAATATGGGCATCAGGAAGCCCAAATTTAGAATTTGTTTTATTATATGTTTCATAGTTTGTCAAAAATTAAATAAAATTTGATTAATGAACTCAATGATTTCATAGCGAGCAAAGGCGACACTGTGCGGAGGGAGAAAAACATTTTTATCTCCAGCGCCCTGCGAGACTGTGTATCGGAAATTCTAAAGATGTGCTCTTTTAAATATTTTGTGATATTGCTGTAGAATTGAATTTCATGGTTTAAGTGCGAAGAACATGATATTTAATAACACACAAAACGTTAAACTCATCCCTTTGGGTATAATATAAAATCTGGATGCTTTCAGATTTTCTTTTTAAATTTTTTAGTTTATTTTTTTTATCGGATAAGGGTTTTAAATTTTGCCAATCGCCTATTTTTTAGATTTTGGCGATCTATTAAAATTTAATATGGTTCATCAGTAGAGATTATCAATATAAATAGCCCAGGTGGAATAACGAAAATTTCATAGGATACTAGATGAATATGCATTTAGACTAATATGGAAACATTATGTACTTTCTATACATCTGGAAAATGAAAAAGCATATAATGTAATTCTATAAAAATATTTAATGTTTTTAATTAGATATACCATGAATTAAAATAATTTATATTTCAATGAATCGGATTAAAAAGTTTAAAAAATATTCTCAAAAACTGCATCTATTACTTTTAAATCGTTTAGTTTGTTAACCAATAACGAACAGATTAAATAGGGAAGATAATCTTATATTTTGCCGAATAACAGCATACTCGAATGAAAAGTTAAAGTTTTGTTTGGAAGGATATAACCTTGTTTTCCAATTTATTAAACTTTCATGGCAATGTAGTGCATTTTTCAAATAATACACAACAATCTGGAAAAGAGAAGTTAAAAAAACTCTAGTACAGCTTTTCTTAAACTGTGGAACACGACATCAAATAGAGTCGCAAAACGATATGTTGACGTCTCAAAACGTTAATATAAATGCAAGAATTTAGGGAAAAAAAGACTCCTAATTCCTTCATTATCTTATTGATTTAAAATGGAATTTAATATATTACATTTTCTGTGCAATGAAAACATAAAATCGTAATATTGGCCGAGCTTTAAACTATGATAACATGTTGAAAAATATCACCATGCGCATCATAATAACAGTGTCGCATATCAGTTTCAGCATACAAGTTATTTCAGAATTAATATATGCCTCAAACGTACAGCACGTAACGTCTTGTGCCACTCAAACTTTCCGACAGTAAGGTCGGCGTCACGGCAGCCAGTATGGCAAGAATGCTTTTCTAGTGTAGTCTGCTGTTGTTGTTTCATCGCAACATGTGTGTACGTCGCAAGAACAATACATTATTGTATTTTACTGTTTCCCGCCAATGAAGTTGGTATTTATTCGAATATTTGTTATGAGAAATTTTATTACTTCCTTGTACGAAGTAAAGGAAGTATTGTAATTACGAAAAATTCCGGGTACCATATTTCAACGAGAATATGCATTTTGACCACTATCGAATTGAACGATGTTTTTGCGTGACATCTCTACGTAAGAACAAAATAAAGGACACTTTTCCCCCAAACGAATTAGAAAACTGATTTAAAATGGATTCAGAAGAGAATTTTTACTGGCGTCTGTAAGTATGTATGTATGTATCTCGCATAACTCAGAAATGAGTAGCCTCAGAACGATGAAATTTTGTATATAGGACTAGTATAAGATGCAGTTGTCTACCTCCCTTTTTGGTTGCAATCGGCATCACCAAAAGTATATAAATATATATATATGTTACCGTGAAAGACCGAAATATGAGAATGTCTACTTTCACCAAATACGTCGGTTAAAGATCGAATATTGCATTACATTCTTGTACATTCGGACCCTCACCAGTGTATGTCGACAATCATGGATATGCTCTGGCGTAGGTCGAAAAGAGAGGAGTATAGGTACACGCTGTCATTGCAAAAGGAAGTGTTCCACAAATAAATGCAGTTGTAAAAGCAAGGGCCTCTTGTGCAATTCAAAGTGTCATAATAGTTTAAGTTGTTGCAATAAATAAGATTTGAATCACATAATTTAGGAAGTTTTTAACTTCTATTATTTTCCTTTCTCATTTTCAATGTACTGTGCGTTTTAAATTCTTATGTTCTTAAGTTCTTATTTTAAGTCTCAAGTGCGTTTTTTCGCGACTGAATTACGGAGAAGAAAATATAATATTCTTATATGTTCATTAGTACATGGTGAATGTCGACATTTACCAGTGTAAGTCAGAAATAAGAGTATTTGGAAAATATTTCGGACATACACCAAGCGACTATGTGAATGTTGATATTCACCAATGAAAGTCGACATTCTCCAGATTTCGGTGTATCACAGTAACATATATACTCAGCTCAATGAGCTCAGATTTTTATTCTTATATGTTGGTAAATTATGCATTTTTTGCTTTAAAAATGATTAAATTATGTTGTTAATGATTGAAGTATGTTGTTAATATATTCTTAAAAACTGCATCTATTACTTTTAAATCACTTAGTTTGTTAACCAATAACATATAGATTAAATGCGGAAGATAATCTTACATTTTGCCGAATGGCAACATACTCGATTGAAAAGTGAAGCAATGCAAATTCTTGTTTCGAGACTAATATCGCTTCTGGTTAAAAATTGATTTACATTTTTTTAATATTAATTTTTTTTTAAATTGAAAAATGGTCTTCCGGTTAAGGATTTTGTGCCTTTAGTTAATGAGCATGATAGTTGTAGAATTATCAAAAATTTAAAAGTTGTTTAAGTGTGGCTAAGCCTAATTATTTTTCACTATAGCAGCTATATTTGTTTACATTTGAAACTTAGCAGAATAGTGAATTAAGTCTTTCTGCACCTTCAAGTCCCTTTTTGCCGAGTGGGACCAAAAGAAATCTTTATTTTTGTGCACCGAAAATTCTGCCTTTTTGCCTGCTGGCCGAATTGCTTGTTTTTACGTAGGAACTATAATTTCAATTCTAAAATTTGTTTTTTAATTTTTAACTGTATTTGATGATTTATGTTTTTCTATGCCTTTCAAATTTTAATGAAGATATTTTGAATTTTTACGTATTTTTGCCTTGCCGCGAAATGAGAACTGAATTAATTTGAATGAGAAATATATCTCTAATGAAATTCGAAGAAATATGTTTAAAAAAATGCAGGGGAAAATGCGCATAGTTTAATATTCCGTACAAGAAAGTCATGTGGTGTACACATCAGCTTTTTTCATTTATGTTTTAGGATAAAATATTTTTACCCAAGGATAAGTAACTGAACTTCGTAACAATGACATAACGCAGATGGCAATTCTACAAAGTCTGTTCAAGCAGGATTTAGTAGCCAGAAAGATGTAGCAAATATGCGAAAAAGAAAATTTCATGAGACATTTCTCCAATCTGACTTTACTTTCAACAGCTCTGATAAAAATAAACAAATTCTTTGCTTAATTTTCAATAACGTTTTGGCAATGGAGAATATAAAACCATTAAAATTAGAAAGGCATCCCAAATCCTAAGATACTTTGACACATGAATAGATGAAAAGTATATTTCGAACGATTGTAAAAATCTTCAAACCCAAAAACCAATATTTTGAGGAATTTATGAATTGGCGAAAATATTCACTCTCGTCATTCGAAAGTTAATATCTGATTGCTAAAACTAAAAAGCCATACATTATTGGAGATTTTGTATTACTTGCTGCTATTTAAATAGTGAATATGACGATGAAAGTTGAAAAGTTCGTTTGTCAATATAAACCGTCGCCAAGTGGAATATCTGAAATTAGCAAAGATCAGTTAGATCAACTTGTTACTAAACTTAAAGAAAGCTCAAATTTACAATTCACTTGGATGAAACATCTGATATATGAGAAACAGCTCAGTTTTGTATATCTCAGATACATTTATAAAGAAAACAATGATGAAGAACTGTTATTTTGTCTTCCTTTAGGCAAAATAACAGTTCATATAAGGCATATAAGA